AATTAACCAAGACATCCTGTACAGCTGATCCTGCTGTGATCATACAGATGTACTTTTCATGACTATTTACTGTTTAAAATGTATTGCTTTCATTGAGTTTATTTTATTTTTGGTTGAAGGAAATGATAAGATTACATAAGATTACAAATATTCCAGATATCAAATATGTTCAAAATAATCTTTATGAGAATGATTGACGTGACTTGATCAGATGACAAACCATTAAAATCCTTTAACATCACACACGTTCTAAGATTTTGTCTCTTAACTGTCTTTAGTAAAGAACCAAATTAGAACAGAGCTCACACCTGAATCATACTTAATTAGCTCCACAAGGGTAATATGTGTCCACTAAAATCTTTATTGTAATGTCAGTTTTTGTGTCAGTCAACTCCTGGTGAATCTGTGTCTCTGTTATAAATGCAGTAAAACAAATGAGAAAAGCTTTGGCCATTACACTGGAACTGTTTCAAACCTTTTCATAAACTTTTTCCATCAATGGTGTCATGGTTAAAGGTCAAATGGTCAAATTTCAAAAAGACAAAAATAAGGAGACAACAAAACTGTGGGTGTGGTTTAAAAAAACAAAACAAAACAAACAAACAAAAAAAAAAACACACACACACACAAAAAAACAATGAAAAACAGAGACTAATTGAGGAACACGGAGAGAATCCAACAAGTATAGAAGACAAACGCAGACAGACTGATGAGAGACAACGGGAGCACAAAGACTAAATACAGGAGGAAAATAGGGAGATAACAAGGGACAGGTGACAGCAGGGTTGATGAGGAACAGGTGAAACAAATCAGGGAGGGACAGACAATCACTAAGGCAGGAAAACACACGAAGGCAGGAAGTAAACAGACATCACATATGAGGACTGAACTTACAAAATAAAACAGGAAACACGAAAGTCCTCAAAATATAAGACTACAAACAACTGGAATTACCACCTCGCAGTTGTACGCCTCCACGCACCAGTCAAGTTTCTCTTACAGTTTACATCCATGTCTGTGAAAACATGGATGTTTCACACACCTTCCCCCTGGCAGCACAGAAGGTCAATACAATTGGCACAGTTCCAATATGAGTATCACCAATTCAGTATCTGACTAAATATCTCCCCTTCTGTTCCTGAGAAATGATGTTAAAGAATGGCCATAAAGTGTTTTAGGCTGAATATTATGATGTCACAGTGAAGCTTTGATCTTTTGGATATAAAATGTCATCACTTCATAATTAGACATTTTGTCATAATTAGCGAGTTATGGCCAATAACATATTTTGTGAGGTCACACTGACCTTGATCTTTGACCTCCAAAACCTAGCCACTTAATCCGTGAGTCCAAGTGGAAGTTTTTGCCAAATTTGAAGAAATTCCCTCAAAAGGTGATATCACATTTACAAGAATAAGATGGATGCAAGGCCACACTGACCTTGACCTCAGACTTTTGACCACCAAAATTTAATCAGGTCATTGTTGAGTCCAATGGGACGTTTGAGCAGAAATTGAAGAAATTTCATCAAGGTGTTATCAAAGAGATAAGGTAGAGATATCAAATTCACAAGAATGGGACTGACAGACAAGTCGGTGCGGAGGTATAAAAAGCTACAAACAAAAACCCAGGACCATGGCAAAAGGTGCTTTCGACATCACATTGGTCAGTATTTTCTGCATCATTTGGGATATTCCAGTGGGTTTATTTACAGACAGACGTTGCAGCTGCCACACTATGACTAACACACACTGTGGGTCCTATATTTATTATGTAACGCGGAAGGGCTCTAAACATCTATTTTGACGTTTGTATTAATAAGTCACATTTGTTCATCTTAACAGGTAAATTTATAACGTCTTTATGAGTCTAATGCCCGTTAAGACGACAGAAAAAAACAACAAGTACATTTCTAATGTCCTAAGACATTTAGAACATTTAAGCTTCCATGCCATTAGTTGGCATCAACATACTAGGGGTGTAAATCACCAGTTTCATCATGATGCAAAATTATTCTTTGGACAACGATAAGCTGTTTTCCAATATTACAAAGTCTGCCATGATACGATTTCGTTTCGATATGATTCAGGGGTCTGTGATCTGTATTAGGCGATATTAAATGCCCATTTAACACAGTCTGTTACAGAAGACGCTGCTACTCGTTTCTTTTTTGCTTTTGGCCATAGAACACATAAACAACACATAAATAATTTGTACAGCAAAGTTAACTTTACATGGAACAAATAAACACAAATAAAACAGCAAATGGGATAATTTAACCTTCAGGGCTTTCTGTCAGAGACCTTGCATCGATGATATGCGTTCATCATCAAATCAATATATCGATCCATATCAATGGGTCGTTACACCCCTACAACATACCTGCCCCTTTTTGACATAGGACTGCGTTGGACTCTACTATGCCTATTTTGTAGTCATGTGGGCTCATGTTCATGGGTATGCTGTGGCTATGTACCTATCACCTGTCTTCTACGCCACTTCAATTTTTATTTGGGAAAGTCCATTTTCTGCCAGGGGAAAAAATTCTGTCATGAACCCCTGGTGACTAAAGAGAGAGTATGGCCTCTGGAAACTTTTTAAACCACTGTAGCCGTAACATACTACAGCCTATGTGTGTTTTCATCCAGTATAAATTATATAAAAAAAGGTTCCTAAACACGAACGTGGTGTTTTACTCAGGAAATAAGAGCTTTCTATCCACATAATTCCTAGCCCCCCCCCCCCCCCCCCCCCCCCCCCCCCCCCCNCCCCCCCCCCCCCCCCCCCCCCCCCCCCCCCCCCGATACCTTGTGTGAATTATATACGCAGCTTTTGGCGGTGAACCAGAACTTGCATTTTCCTATGGTAACCAGGGCTGGATTGGCCATAGAGCATACTGGGCAATGTCCGGTGGGCCGTTGGCATATTTTGGGCCGGCACAATCGTAATTTACTTAATGCAATTATGTAGATATATTTTTTAATGTCCACGCCGGCCTTAAAAGCACAGAAAACGGCCCATTGGTTATTTTTCTACACTGACATTGGGCTGATCCAATGAAATCTTTCAGCCCTTCCTCCTCAGCCCGCCCCCTCACCACTCATTTTCTGAGTTCTCCTGAGTTCAAGTAGCTGGCTGTTGGCCTTGTGCATAGTGGTGGAGTGCGTAGCCTACTAACGTACAATGATGGATAAACCACCAAAGTGCAAGGGAGGTGCGGAGAAGCTATGGGAGAAAAGGTGCAAGAATCTCCAGGCAGATGCAGCCAAATGCGTGAAAATATCTGACATGTTTGCTGTAAGATCTGGTGCAGCAGGACCATCCGCACAGAGTGCAGTACATCCCATCGCACCAAACATAAACCTGCATGGACCTGCAAGAGAGTAGTTCAGGAGAAGAGGTTGCTGCTGGTGGAGATGATTCAGAGGAGGAGGAGGAGGGACACAAAGATATGGCCTAGGGACAGATTGAGGAGAACAGAGTAGCCACTGCCGGCCCGGTAAGGAGTAATAACAGCAGAATGAATGAGAGACTCTTTCATGTAGTGAAGGAGACTGTTTGTGTGCGTCCGTGTAAGGGTGTCAGTCCACCTGTCCAGCTTTTCATGCATTTGAGCATTTATCTCACTCTTTTAAGGTGCCATTTTGAGGAAGTTTTTATTTTACATGATGGTATGGTCTTGCTGATTTATGTATCTTATTTGTACTTGCACACATTTTATTAAAAACTGAAATAATAAATCTTGTAGAGTTTCTTTGGTAAGTGCCTTTACCAAAGTATAGGCATTGTGTACTCCGTGGCCATCTACTACCACCAGGATGTATATGAGAAGTGAATGGGCACATTGATTTTCTAGCCTTGGTACTCTTCTTCCAGGACACGTAGGGTACAACTGAGGTTTATTTTAATTTTGGTAACAGCGTAGTGTGTGCGTATGGCATTTCACCAATCAGTGGGCCACCATGGCCAAAAATGCCAGGGCCTGTTTTTTTTTCCCAGTCCAGCCTTGATGGTAACGTTATTGAACAGTATGCTAACGGCATGCTAATCCCTTGACAGCATAATGTGATCATACCTCTGTCATTTCTGACAGCCATCTCAAAGCATTAGTTCTCCTTTTTAACCAAGCGTGTTAGTGATTAGCTTGCCTTGCTCCATTAGCATATTGTTAAATCTAACAGAGCCCAAGCTAGCCTACAGTTAACATCTACCCCTAAGAGATGATTTATGATTTCTTATTACTCATAAACAGCCAGTAACACTTGAGGCAAACATTTTACGTAATTCTGTATTAATTTTAGCTCCATGTTAAGTGAATATACAGTTAATGCTCTTCTTGTTAGCCTTAATGACACCGTTTACACATTTTTATCACTGCTGACTTATTAAATCGGAGTTCTAGCAAGCGAAACACGACGCCGTTTTCAGCAGTAGACCTCAGTAATATCAGTAATATAAAGTAGTAGTAAAACAAATAACTTTAGGCATTCATTTTATATGATATGAAAGAATTAAGGCAAATCAGTAACACACTCAGAATAGATGACTAAACACTATGCCCAATGTATTCTAATCTAATTTAAGTCTGCCATCTAGTGGACACTTATGCGAATCCATTGTATACAAAATACTATTTCATCAGTTTCCCCTACAAAATTGGTGAAATGCTTGCACCCAATGTTTAACATCTTAAGATGTCAGAAATGTACTTGTTAACAGGGCATTTTCATTTGTTTGCAAATGTACGATAAGACGTTATATTTTTTGCATGGTAAGATAAACAAATTTGACTTATTAATACAAACTTCAAAACAGACATTGAGGACCCTTCAACATTTCATAATTACTGACACTGTCAGAATTCTTACTGCAGTTCTTGTGCACCAGAAAGTCTAATAGACAGGCGTGCCCCTACCCCCATACTTCTGCTGCCTTTGCTCGCACCAATGCAGGTACATGCACATATTCAATTCTCCACACAAACACAAAAAGAGACTCACCTTGGCATGTATAGAACCCTCTCAGCCACAACAAATCCAACCCTAAAAAAAAGATTACTGGCAGGAATGAAGGGAAACACCAGAAACAACATTCCCACCAACACCTCCCTGCTCTCCTGTCTCTGCAGAAAGAGAGAGAAAGAGAAAGACAGAGAGAGGGGTAGGTGAGAGATCAACACAGGGATATGAGCACATTCACATCTGTAGCAAACAATTACATTTTTCAATAAACTAAGACTGCTTTAAATAGCATGGCTGAAAAGCACATTCATTGTGAATGGTAATATGTGCTATTCAGACTCTGCCACCACACACACTTGCACACACTTCTACACACCGATATATGCACATTCAGCAGCTGTGACCAATCTGTCTTATATATGAACAATTATTTGTGCAACACAGAAGCAATTAAGGCGATCAAATTATCTCATTACAGTTAATTCCTTTTTCTGTGGAGCCCATATCTGAGGCCATTCATATTTCATAAAGCACACAGCCTCTGCCTTCTCTCCCTCCATGGATGTGTTTATTTGAACATCACTGGGTTCAATGGATTGGCTCATTATCAGTAATGAGAGCGAGAGAAGTGTGAAGTGCTGATTAGTGTCGTTCCAATCAGAGGCTTGTTCTGCTGTGGACAGCACTTGTCAACAGCTATTGAAACCATCCCGACTGGAAGGGACCTGATTTTTATGGTGTCTTGATTGAAAAGAAGTTATGTACATCATTCCTTACTGTACATCTGTACAGAAAGTCCACATTCTTAAGAAAAATGATTCAGCCAATTCGTTGAATAAATTGAACAACCAGCTAGATCCATCTCTCCCTGCTATCTGAAGCTGCTATCTCAACTTCACACTAGCCCGTTTTCTTATAGCAGCAGTAAACACTCCAGGGACCACTATGGGGACATGCAAAATGAGGGGCCCTTGACTGACGGGGTTAACCAATCTAGCACTAGTTGTAGGAGCCATTTCTATGTGATTGTATGTAAGCACCAAATTGAGCCAGCAGCATTGTGTTGGGTGTAACTTCCTAGGAACTTTTTGACAGGTGTCAGGTGTTGCTAGACGGAGGAGCACACAGTTTTTCGACCGCTCCGCTCTGTCATGTTTTCTTGTTTGTTTGCTGAAATAAATATGGACTTTATCTGCACTAAATGGATTCTTGCACGTTATTGAAGATCCCGGAGACGGTGAGAAATAAAGAAAGCATCCAATGAAGACGCGTAACCAGATGCTGTCCATTTCATTATGCACAAGTTATAGTCATATGGTAGCAAGCGCGTCGATTAAGTTTTTAGCCTGTCTATGCAGCCCCTCAGTGGCTTTAAATGTTAGGCTTAGCCGCTACATTCAAGTCGAAAAACTGCTAAATGATGCCGGAAGAGCTTCATTACCAAGCAGCAAGAGATGTCACAGACAACGGAGCAGTTTCCAGCTGATGGGAGCCTGGAAAGCGGACATCTGAGGCTGGGCATTGTACCTACCTGAGCCCACCTGTTTGCAGTCAGCTGTCGGTGAGAGGACACCGGGGGACCGGTCAGAGGACATCGACACCTGCTAACGCTGTTAGCCACAGCACCTTTCTTTGTTTGGAGCCAAGCCCCGCCAGCCTGAGGACATCGGGAGCCGATCTTCCCACAGCGACGGTTCGGGAGTCATTCACCGGGATCATCATGGCGCCCAGCGTGAGTAGTAGCACTACAAATTTATGAATGGCCATTCATGTTTGTGTGCACACTTGTTCGCTACATACAATCGGGGTGTAAATCCAATGCATTGGTGGTCAAATGGGGAGGACAATAAAAGTAACTTTGCGCGTGTGGGAAAATCATCATGGATGTACGTGAAACGGTGGACGAGCCTGCCGAGGCTATTGCACAATTGGCTGAGCTGAACATTAATACTGGTGGCATTGGTACGCAAAAGGACAAAGAAAAACGTGTTGTAAAAATGACTGCTAAGGCTTTTGCTGAAAAGTGTGAAAGGTTGCAAGCTACTAGGAAAGCTAAGCTAAACAAAGCAGGTAATTTAAGAGAAAAAATGCATGTGCTTATGCAAAACAATGACAAAGTAAAGGTACAATGTGCTCTTGATGATCTTGTCAATTTGTATGATGAAGCTAAATGTGTTCATGGTTCTTTGGTGGGTATTTTACCTGATGATGAGGAAAAGGAAAAACACAACATATGGTTCAAAGCAAAAATGATATGCAATCATGAATTCATTTCTGGTGTGAAGCAATGGGTATCAGGTGCTGAACATGCATTGCATGATGATGATGATGATGGTGATGGTGATGATGATGATGCTAATGGTGATGATGATGATGATGATGATGATGGTGTGAAGCCAGAGGACAGTGTTTCAAATGTGGCTAGCAAACACTCAAGCAGAAAAAGTTCACAGTGGAAAATCAAGCACTACTTCATCTGCATGAATTGAAGCAGAGGCTGAAAGAGCTGCGTTGCTTGCTCATGTTACAGCTTTACAGAAGATGCATGCTTTGGAGGAGCAAGAACAACAGCTGAAAAGGAGAAAGGAACAGCTTGAGCTGGAGGCTAAGCTAGCAGCATCCTCTGCTAAGTTAGCAGTGTTAAAGGCCTTTGACACTCGCAGTGTTTCCAAAGCACCATCAAATGCAATGAATTCATATCTGGACAAACAAAAGACAACTGCTGCTAACAAGCTCAACCCAATGGCAAAGGAGTACAGACCGGTAAGGCAGAGCAAATGGGAGCCAAAGGACTGGTCACTGCCAACAAATGACCCACCACCAACTGCTATGCTAACACAGGAGGATAGTCAGCAATACACAGCTGGACTAAAGCAGTGTATGGATTCAAAAATGCAAAACATCTATTCCATAACGCAATTGGATGCATCCATACAACCTTTGGAACCCACACTGTTTAATGCTCAGCCAATGGAGGAAAGGCAATTTGGAAATATCTGTGCCATAATGGAAAGGCAGAATGAAATAACGGCAGCGCTTGTACATCAGCAATGTTTAATGTTATTGCCAGCAAGAGATATTCCAACATTCAGTGGGGATCCTCTCCAATACATTTCCTTCAAGAACGCATTTGAGCAAGGAGTGGAGGAGAAGGTCAGCAGAGGCGACTGCTTGTATTACCTCAAACAGTTCTCCAGAGGGCAGCCAAGGGAACTGGTTCGGAGCTGCCAGCATATGGCTCCAGAGCATGGCTATGCTCAGGCAAAACAGCTGCTTAAAGAACACTTCGGCAATAAGTACAAGATCGCCACTGCATACATTGAGAAGGTTTATGCTTGGCCTACAATAAAGACAGAAGATGTAAATGCTTTACAAGCTTTCTCTCTGTTTCTGCATTCGTGTTGAAATGTCATGGAGAAGCTGCAGTACATGCGAGAATTGGACATTCCAAGTTATATGAGAGCTGTCATGTCTAAGCTGCCAATTAAGCTGAGAGAGCAATGGAGGACTGTTGCACATGACATACTGGAAGCATCGGAACAAAGAGCTCTGTTCAAGGATCTGGTTGCCTTCACTGAAAAGCACGTCCGAATACTATCTGACCCTCTCTTTGGTGACATTAGTGATGTACCATCTGGACCATCTAGTTCTAAGGTCACCAACAGGATGAAGTCAAAACCAGTGAATAAAATGAGAGGAAACAGCTTTGCAACCACCATTACACCAGTGCAATCAGTTGAGAGCTCCAGAGACTCAGAGGTAAATTCACAAGCACATGGCTCTGCAGTGACGTTAACTTGTGTGTGTTGCTCTAGAAGTCACTCATTGGATGTATGTCAGCAGTTAGAAAAGAAGAAACACCGAGATAAAATAAGATTTCTAAAGGAAAAGGAGCTTTGCTTAGGATGTTTATGTGCTGGGCACAGGAGTCGAGACTGCGACAACCATTTGACCTGCAGGATTTGTGGTCAAAACCATCCCAGTGTGCTTCACATTGACAAAAAGGACAGAGTTAAAGCAAACACAAAGTACTCCAAGGAGCCTGTGGCATGTAACATCACAGCATCTCATAAAACTTGTGGTCATACAGGGGCCGGAGACGATCGCTGTCTTCTTTCCATCCTCCCAGTCCAAGTTAAGGCCATCAAAGGAGACCGTGTAATAAACACCTATGCCTTCTTGGATCCTGGCAGTACGGCTACCTTTTGTTCAGAGCAGCTCATGCAAAGGCTCAGTCTTGTTGGTAGACGAACCAGTTTTCGCCTTCAAACTATGGGACAGGAACAGGTTGTTCCAGCATATTCACTATCTGGTTTGGAAATATCTGGTTTGGAGACCAACCTTTTCTATAAACTTCCTGAAGTCCTCACCCAGAGGAAGATGCCTGTAAACATGGACAACATTGTGACTGAAGGAGACCTGGCAAAGTGGCCCTACCTATCGAAGGTAAAAATTCCCAGCATAAAGGCTAGCGTGGATTTGTTGATTGGAAGCAACGCTCCCAAGATGTTGGAGCCTTGGAAGGTTATAAATAGCCAAAGGGAAGGCCCATATGCTATAAGAACAGCATTGGGATGGGTCCTTAATGGTCCTTTGCAAGGAAATGGCAGCAGCTTGGAAACTGAGGTCTCTTCAGTAGTTGTCAACAGGATTTCTGTGAGCAGGTTGGAAGAAATGCTGAGTGAGCAGTACAACCATGACTTTAACGAGAGAGCTACAGAGGAAAGGGGACTCTCGAGAGAGGACATGAAGTTCATGGAGATTGCTGAAAGGTCTGCAACACTCAAAGATGGTCACTACAGTTTGAACTTGCCCTTTAAGAAGGATGACGTGTCTCTGCCCAACAACTTCTCTGTCGTCAGACAAAGGTTACTTGGTCTGAGAAGGAGGTTCCTTAACAATGAGCAGTTTTATGAGGAGTATAAAACATATCTCAACGGGATGATCAGTAAGGGCTATGCAGAACAAGTACCTGCTCAGCAGCTTGATATTGGGCATCAGTGGACAAGGTGGCTGGAAGACCTGGAAGGGTTGGCATTATTGAAAGTTGAGAGATGCAGCAAGCCCAAAGACTTTGGACAGCCCGTCAAGGCGCAGCTGCATAACTTTTCTGATGCTACTCAGGATGGATTTGGCGCCGTCACTTACCTCAGGATTGAAA